ATCATTTATCTCTCATACATATGCATCTCTTTCATAATACCCTCTTTGATTTAATTTGAAGATTTACCTATTATTTGTATTTATTACTACTTTCAAGATTTGATTTTGTGTGTGTGTTTTTTTATTTATTATTGTTGTAGGAGCCACACCAAAGCTTGTTCTTCAATTGATGAACATCAAAGGCCTTAGCATAGCTCATGTCAAGAGCCACCTCCAAGTATATATTTTAATTTCATTAAAAAAAACCCCATCTTAATTATTGTATGTTTATGGATTTATATTTACCTTAATTATATATTATTGTGATTAATCAATTTCATTGTTTATGAACGTCTTTCCAATTTGTAGATGTATAGAAGTAAGAAGGCAGATGACCCATACCAAGGTACTAAATTTCAATTCCAATTTGGTTTGTCATCATGATGTTTTCTTTCATTTTTTTATCCTTTTAAAATAAAGATTTTATGGTCAACATTATTTTTTTAAACTATAATCACACAAATTCTATTAATTTTTAATTAAAGAATATGTTTTGCACATTTTATTATTATTAATGCGGAATAATAGTACTGTTAATTAACCCTAAAGTTGGTTAGGGTTTCATTTTCTCCGTCTTCTTCAATTCTTTTTTTTTTGAAAATAATTTTGATGGATATTAATTTCTTCTTCTGGTCATGTTCTTATTAAAATTATTATTATTATTGAGTTTGTGAATTTCTACTAACCATATAGGGAATATTTTATTGAATTTAATAAATTATGAAAAAGAAAAAAAGGAATTAATTTTGATTTGGTGTAACAGTTACACCTGCAAACAACAGAAGGCTGCTTCTTGGAAATGGAGACCCTCTCATGTTTAACTTCACCAATCTCCAAAGGCTTCAACCATTTTATCATTCTTCACCTGATACCGCCGGTTTAAGGTACGATTTTCTAAAAAGAAGATAAAAATCTGTCATTTTTCAAAGACTATTTTCAAAATAAAAACTTTTATAAGGATGACTTTACAAAAGAATATTTTACAGGGATCAAAAATAAAAATTATCTATTTTACACTGACCAAAAAACATATGTTGAAGTATCTTTTTATGGTTTTTTGGCAAACGGGTTTTTCGTTTATTTTTAGCAACTTGCAAAAGTTATTTAACGATAGCGTTTAGTTTTTAGCATTTTTAAAATCAAACTGTACTATTACAAAAATAATTCAAAACGATAACGCTAATTGGAACGTTGTTTCCAATTCCGAAACAAGCCGAAGAATGAACTTGTGACTCATGAGACTCTTCTTCTCATTTACCCCGTTGTACACAAATTCTAATCGCATAATCCGTACTTTTTCATTTTTCTACACTTTTCTTAATCTCTTTGAAGGTTAAACAGATAATTTTTTTTCTTTGTAACGCATATATAGCATAGCCGATAACTTCAAATAAAAAAAACATATTCACATTTTAAATTTTTTATTGGTATTGTCGCAGAAATTAAAATAAAAAGAGAAAGAAACTTGTAAAAGAAGAAAGAATTGAATGACATCAATTAATGCATGCATACTAGCCAGACACGAGAAAGGGGTTAGTTTAATTTAGTTGTTTTGTTTAATTCCAGCTCAAATGTACTTTTTGGTCCTATAGGGAGTTTGTTATAACTAATCCCTTGTAGCTTAATTTAAATATTTAGACCCTTTTTTTCATTTTTTAAAAAGTACTTTTTTAAAATTTGAGAGTCAGTAAATCCATGGATATGCGTCCTTTTTATTGATTTTTTTTGGAGTTAAAGTTTAATAAAATATGGGTATACATTTAGAATTTCTTAAAAAGTGTTGAAGGTTTTCATATTGTTGAAGATATAAAGGTCGCCCCCTTTCGCAAAATCTCTAGCTTCCATTAGAAAATTAAAATAAAAAGAAAAGAAATGATAAAAAGTGAAAATGAATAAAAAAATTTAAAGAGATAAAAAAGGATCAAATGAAAAAAAGGCAAAAGAAAAGACGAAAAAAATAGCGAATAAGAAAAAATAAAAGAAAGAAAAAACAATAAAAGAAAAAGAGAGGAAAAAGAAAGAAGAGAAAGAAAAGGGAGTGGTTGAAAAAGAAAAAATATAAATTATAGGAATGTAAGGAGAAGAAATGAGGATCAATGTGAAAAAATAAAAATTTAGATTTTGCAATTTGGCCCAAAGTTACCTGCTGGTCACCTGGTAATAGACAAATGGACTTTTAGTGAAAAAGATGGTAAAAATTTAGGTACTTTTGCGAAAGGTTTTAAAGTTCAAGTACCAACTTGAAATTTTCGTGAAAGTTCAGCATCTACTCTTGAAATTTATTGTAAGTGTTGTTCAAAATTGCATTCATTTAAAAAAAATTACTCCGTACATTTCAATCAATTACAATGTTTAATTTCTCCCAATCTATTGTGGAACAAGATTTCTAATTAATGTTAGATTGTGCATATATAATTTTTATGATGCTATTTAACTTTAAAGATGTTAAGGATAAACTTATCATCAACCTTCTACTCTTTTGGTGAAAAAAATTAATTTTCAACTTTTTTTAATTTTTTCTAATTTTTTTCAATTACTTCCAACAACCACTTAAGAAATGTATAATATACAATAACATTATATATCCAGATTTATATATATCACCTCAAATACACAGATATGGAGGGATTGTATGGTCTTTTGTGACCATAAAAATAAACTTTATGATTAAATATGCTTTTGGCCCGTAAAAATGAGTAACTTTTGCTTTTAGTCTTATCCTCTTAAAATATTTCTTAATCAAACCATCCTTGTAAAATGCAACTGCTTTCGGTCCTAAAAACATGGAGTTATTATTTAGGAGATTTGAAGTAAGTGTATCTTGATATTGAAGTTCCAAAAAATCTTTTGATGTAATGGGTAAAAGTAAGATTTGATAGGTAAATTATTAGTAAAAAAGTATGATGTGATAGGTAGGGTATGAAAAAGTAATGGGTAAAAGTGACTTTTTAATATAAATAAAAAGTATTTTTTGGGACGGATGAAAAAAAAGGAAAAAGGTTTTCAGAGATCGAGGGAGTAATATTTTTTTTACATCTAGTCTTTATTTCCAGTAACTTAGAATTACCCCGGAGTAATTTGTTAATGTTTACTTGAATGAAAAGTAAAATCTCTTTGAACATAAAATATTTAAGAGAGACCAAAAATTAGATTTGAGATGTTCTAGAGGATAAAAACAAGTTCAAAATTAATTCAAAATTGATAATTAAATGACAATTCGTAAAAAGAAAAATTAGAAGTACAAGTGTACAACTTAAAAAAATGTTTTTGATGGACAAAAAACCAGAACTACTTATTAACCCTAAATTTTATTTGAAAGGGATCTAAATTTTATTTGAAAGGGAGTATTATAAAGGGATTTGAAACATAATTAACCCTAAATTTTATTTGAAAATTGAGAAATTTACCTAAATAGACAAAACATAATGACTTTCTCAATATAGGATCATACTCCGTATGTTTTTATTTTTTAATATAAAACCTTTGATCATTATCAATTAACCATTATTCAAATAAATATCCAGCATTTCTGGACATTATGTCTTGCACGAGACATTATTAAGTCCTATTTGGAAAATAAAAAGTTTTAAGTCCGGAAATGCAAATTTCACCCATGTTTGTTTCTCCCATTTAATCAGCAACGATTTTCCGTATTAAATTTTGTTAATTTTTTTTTCTTCTTCTCAGGTTTGATGAATCTCCGTGGCTCCGTCACCCTACTTCATCATCTCTTTTTAATAATAATAATAATAACCATTATCTCGACGGCGCCGCCGTCTCCAACGCAATGATCCGTCACGGTCTTGGAAGAAACTACTACTTGAACGGCGGCCGCCTTTCGGATTTTCCCATGATGACGTCACCAACACAATATCATTGTCCCGACCACCGCCGTCGCCGCAAAACCCCCGGCGACAATACCGCAACAGTGCCGCCCCCGCTGCTCCCTCGCTTCCCGACGGCCCTGAACAAACACCGGATCTCGGAGGAAGTTACGGCGGCGCCCCCCGGCAGCGCGAAGAGGAAGCCGGCGGCGGATTCCGACGTCAACCTTGATCTGAAGCTGTCCTTAAAGACGTCATCGACGGGCGGCTATAACGACGGCGAGAAGAGAAAGAAGGTGGGCGAGTACGATGACGGCACCCGTTTGTCCCTGTACCCTTTCTCCTCCGCCGCATCGCCGCCACCGTCACCGACAAGAAAAATGGGAACCGGCCGCAGTAGTAGTAGTAGTCTTGAACTGACGTTGTGAATGAGAAAAACGAAACTAATAATTACGGAGGAATAAAAGTTTAATTTGTGACTGATGAGATTTTGAGTCCATATGTGTTTGTAAGGGTACGTGTGTAAAGTCCACCCATCTTTAATTTGGTGGAGATACATCTTTCTTCTACGATCAATATATATATATAGAAATATTTGTACTAAATGATATTTTCCTCCGTCCGAAAATATTCTTTCCATTTGACTTTTTACAGTTTCCAAGATTACATTTTGACCACTAATATCTTTATTTATACATAGATATATTTTATAAAAATTTGATATTTGAAAACTATATTTCAAAATGAATATATTCATATTAAAGTTATATCCTAATACAATGTATATTTTCCACATATCATAGCCAAAGTTTACAAACTTTGATCAATAAAAGTCAAATGAGAAGAATATTTCCGGACGGAGGGAGTACTAAAATATGAGTTATTTTCCTAAATAGCACTTAAACTGTTTAGTTATCTAAATAATACTTAATAATATTCAGAAAGAGGAATAATGTCAAGTGATAGGGGTGAGCAAGTACCGAACCGATACCGAAATTTCTCGAAAAAACCGAGAATACCGAACCGAAAAATACCGAACCGAAAAAGTACCGAGAAGAAACCGAACCGTACCGAACCGAATGGTTGGTACGGTATTTGGGAACGGTACGAGGTGACGTACCATACCGAAAATCCCGAACCGAACATATATACTAAAATATTATAAAAAATAATACCCCGGAGTAATATTTTTCATATTCCTTCACTAAATAATACGGAGTAATTTTTAAAAAAAAATTGGTTCAAGTTTTATCATGTGTAAGTTATACTTTTATTTGAGTNAAATATTCATTTTTTTAATTTTTCACGTTTTTTTTATTTAAATTCACTTTTAATTTTCAAAAATAAAGGGGCATTGTTAAATTTTAAGGTGTAAAGTAGGTATGTATGTTCATCCCAATTTGTACCGAAACCGATACCGAACCATCCCGAACCATACCGAACCGATATGTCGGGATCGGTACGGGCTAAATACCGTACCATACCGTACCATGCTCACCCCTATCAAGTGATGACGAACATTTTTTGAATAATGATTAATGGATAATGACTAAAAGTGTTACATTGGAAAAAAAACACATATAGTGCTATTTACGGAAAGTCATTATGTTTAAATGCTATTTAAGTAAATTCCTCACACACACACACATATACACACTAATTTAATTATAAGATTGTTCTCCTCGAGTTATTTTTTTACTTATTACTTATTTATATTAACATAAAATTAGAAAAATAGTGCATATGTATTTATAATTACAGTCAGATAGTAAATTTGATGAGTAAACGTGAATTTTAATGTGCGACAATATTTCGATGATTTATAGATGGATATTAATAGAGGCATTGTCATGGATATTTAACGAGGTGACGGGGAATTTAAAACTACGATGATCATAGAAATCAAGATTGATAGATAATTGTAACAGTGTGACAAAAGTTTAGAGAGAGAACTTTAATTTCCATAAGAGCAATCATAATACTCTGCATGTAATCTTTTCATTTATATAGACTAGAATGACTTTATATTTGGATGTGAAGACCCACATGCTTAATGTAACCAACTCATCTAATTGGTTCGATCCAACTCACCATGTTGGATCGGGTCATAACTTAGCCATACGACCATAATTGCCATGTTCTAATTCCTAAATGGACGAGAAGCGTCCACATGGATAGCTCAACTGGTCTAAGGAGACAATGTCAAGCCCAATGATCATAGGATCGAATTCCTTCAACGATATCGTGAAAGTTTTATTAGTTGTAATAGCTCGTTCTGCACATCGAACACGAGACAATCTATCTAAAACCCAGATTAAGATTATATCATGATTTATTTTCTCACTATCTTGTCAGGTCGGGATGTAGGGGCGCTCGGAGTGGGCATTCCACCTAAATGGACAAGAAGCTGACCCTAGACGAGGCGGGCCACTCGCGAACCCAAATGACTCCCCTAAAAATGCCACTTCTCCTGGACTGTTTATAATCAGGCCAAGGATAACTCCCTCGGCCGACTAGCCTTACATTGCCCTTAAATTTTGGGCTATGATCTCTTTCTTCGTTGGACTTAAACATACTCCATCATTTGGGCTTTTGTTTAGTTTGGACCTCATAATCCTTGGCTCGATTGGACTTGGACTTCTTAGTTAATGTTTCTTTTACTCTCTTTAAGCATATTTTTTAACTTCCTTCGTTTAAAAAAGAATAACACATCTTACTATTTAAAAATAAAAAGCTATTTTTTTATGTACTTTAAATGATAATTTGATCAAACAAATTATTTTTGTGAAATCTTGTTTTTCAGGAATCCTGACGTGGCTTTTAAATATATATTTTTTATTATTTAATTTTATATGAATCTCTAAAATTATTCCTTAATAAGCAATAGTTACTTGTGTGATTCTTTATAATTTAGATTTATTCCTAAATAGTTTTTTTTATCAATAATACCTATTAAATGTCAGTTAGATAGAATATATTTTAATATTTTCTATTATCTACACTTAAAGTATGTTCTTGAAATGCTTCTTTATAATTAATTAAGTATTTTTTGAAGATAATAACTTCTAGGAATCTAGGTATGCATTTTTTTGAAATGGACTACATGAACCAAATCGAGGTGTACCCATTGTTTTAGCAGCCACTCACTTAATTTGAAAGAAATATTTTGATAATTTATTCATAGTTCACTACAAGAATCTGTCATTTCTGCGATAAGAAAATTTCGTCGCAGATATTTCAGATCCCATATTAGCGACGAGACTGCGACCAAAATATTACTCCGTATATTGGTAGTTATCCTTTATTGAAGACTAATTTAAAAAAATATTTTATTTAAAAGACTATTTTGAGAACTCACCCTTACATTTAATGCTAATTTTATTTAATAAATTGGATATTCTCATGTAAGAATAAAGAGTCCTAGACTAGATTCCGAGTATATCCGTTGAGGTGTTCCAATTTCCAACGGTTGAGGAAAGCGGAGGCCAAAATGAAGGCCAGTGATAAACATTTCCCACCATTTAAGTCCTTCACCTTTCCTTCCCCACCGCCCAATTCTGGCATCTCCGCCGCTTTCCTGAAGACACTACGCCGGCCACCTTCCTCCTCCGTCGTCCCCAACCACTCCAATCGTCAGAGAAAATAGAGAAGAGAAACAGTGCTTCTGTTTTTCTCTCCAATGGCTCCCGCACTTCCAATGCCCCCTCAAAGTAGCAATATCTTCGTCTCCAACCCTAGCTCATCCCTTTCGGCAGTCTCTTCCAATGCCCCTTTCTTCTTCAACTCGTCGAGCTCCTTCAATTGCGCTGCTCGCCGCCTGAGCTCCTCCACTATCTTCTCCTCGCCGGGAAAATCTTCTGTCCAATCGCATCCGCTGCGGCCTCGGCTTGTTCCCGCTCCTCGGGTGTCAATTGCTCCGGCAGAGTACGTCCCTCCATCTCCTAACTTCGATTTCCGCAAGGAAATCCCCAAACTGAAGGGGTTGAAGTCCAAGCTTTGTAATTGCTCGAACTTGGAAGATAAGCTGAGAACTCTTGACTCGGATTCTAGGGTGCGATCGTTCTTCAATGCTGGTTTCGGCAGGTTAATGGGCGAGTTGAATTTGGACAAATACGAATTGTTTTTGCTCAAGTGTGTAGTGGCTGCTGGGCAGGAGCATGTGTTGGGGGAATTCGGCGGCGAGCTTGTCTCCAAACGGAGTTCTCTCAAGACAGCTCTATATGCTCTGGCCGACATGATTGAGAAATGGGAAACTAGTGGAGCTAATGAGTGTGACCGCCTCCCTGGTAGGGTGGGATTTGGACTTGGAGAAGAAGAGGTTAAGGCATTGAGGTTGTTGCTCAAGTCTCTTGGTGAGATTGAACAATTTTATGACTGCATTGGGGGAATTATAGGGTAGGTCTTCTTCTACTATATATATAACTTTATCCTTTGTTCACTTCAGTCTAAATTTTTATATGTATATACTGGTTTCATGGTTCATTATATATAACTCTATCATCTGCATTGGGAGATTTTGTATGTTTTGAACAAGTTCATTTGCTAAGCATGTGATTGCCAAAATGGAAATTGCAATAGGGTGGACTGGAATTGGAATACGTTATTTAAATATAAGCATATTAAATTATTTAAGTAATCGAAGATAAATGATTTGATATTCAGTGCTATACTGATATTCATAGGCATAACCAGTTGGATCCTGTATATTTTCTGATTTTTCATTAGCAGCCACTAATATAAGCAGCCGGCTTCCTGTTTATTTCATTTTTTTTGTTTGAGCAAATGCCCGGTAGCATGTAAAGCATGTTCCACCTTCTAAGCGCATAGTTGGTAGATTCGTTTTGCAATTGGAAAGTTTATATCCACGATTACATTTTCAATTTTGATTCTTTTTGACGAACTGTCACAAAAGTTCTACACCTTTCACAAGCTAATCATATGCAGTAATTTTTTAGGGCTATGCAGATTATATGCTGAAACGACATATTGAATTATGGATTGCAGATATCAGATAATGGTCCTTGATCTTCTTGTTCAGTCCACTTTTGAAAGACAGACAAGCAGTTGGTCCACCCACACGTGTAAATCATTGAAACACGAGAGTTTAGAAATTCATCCTCCTCGTGCACTCGATCTTTCTCAAGATGTAGAATATGCATCTCAAGCAGCTCTTTGGGGATTAGAGGTTAGTTAATGGAAGAAACTAATTTGTGTTTGTTTGTTTTTAATTATGAATGGAGTTTGTATTACTCCGTATTATTCTATTCACTGCCAGGCTTTGCCAGTCTTGGGAGAAATTTACCCTCTTGGAGGCTCAGGAGACCGGCTTGGCTTGGTTGACCCTGATACAGGTGAATGCCTCCCTGCTGCAATGCTTCCTTTCTGTGGACGTACACTTTTGGAAGGCCTAATAAGAGATCTTCAGGTGAGGGAAACCATTCTTGGTAAAACTTGGAAACATATATTGGCACTGATATTAACTGAAAACCAATTTCTTTTACTAAAATGGTGTCATCCTTTAACTAATGCAAGGCCAGAGAGTTCCTGTATTATAAGGTGTACGGAAACCAGTGCATCATTCCTGTCGCAATAATGACAAGTTCTGCCAAGAACAATCATGAACGTATTCTGCGCCTGTGTGAAAGCCATAGCTGGTTTGGAAGAGGGAGATCTAATTTTATACTTTTTGAACAGGTTTTGAGAAGAAAGTTATTGGATTTTTTGTTTTTCTTACAAAATGTGACTGTGCAACTAGTAATATAATATACTCCATATCAATTTCTAGCCTCTTGTTCCAGCTGTTAGTGCCAAAGATGGGAAGTGGTTAGCTTCTAGACCTTTTATGCTAGTACGCAAGCCTGGCGGTCATGGTGTGATATGGAAACTTGCTTACGACAAAGGTGTGTTCCAGTGGTTTCACGATCATGGAAGGAAAGGGGCAACTGTCCGACAAGTCAGGTTACCGTCATCTTATATCTTTTACGAGTTTAACTGTCTTGAATGGTGAAACTGTTTGCAATGAGACTTAGATGTTGGTTTTGATGAATTTCCAGCAACGTTGTGGCGGCTACAGATTTGACGCTTTTGGCATTGGCAGGAATTGGTTTGCTCGGTGCCAAGGTAAGATATAAAATCTTTAGCATTTATTTCAAGGTACTCCATTGGGGTTTATAGAGTGGCAGTGTGACTGCCAGGATAGTTTGATGTCTGTATTTAATTTTTGGAGCCTCAAATGGCAACTTTAAGCAAACTCAAATAAAAACTCACCCACAGGGGGGGGGGGGAGGTATAGGAAGGGAGGCTTTAGTTTCCTTTCTACTTTTGTCTCTTCACTTTAAAAGGATTTAGTATTCCTTGAAACAGAAATATGGAATTTTGTTGCCCATTGGCTTGACAGTTAATTGTTGGTTTAGGGCATAGAAGATGTTATAAGACTATGTCATCAGTTTCTACAATGAATAAGTTATTTTCCAAAATTTCCGAGTAGGGGTAAGGTCTGTCTATATAGACTCCTCAGACCCTAAATCTGTGGTATTCTACTGGGTTTATTTGTTGGTTATTGTTTTAGAAATTGGGCTTTGCATCCTGTAAGCAAAGTACTGGAGCTACTGAAGGAATAAATGTTTTAATTGAGAGGAAGAGCCTCAATGGTAATTGGATATATGGCCTATCTTGTATTGAATATACCGAGTTTGACAAGTTTGGAATCAGGGACGAGCCTCTTCCATATAATAGGTATTCCTTTCTCCCATTTTTAACCTTGCTTTGCTGACGGTTTAGGAATGCCTTGAATTTTTATATTTTTCCTTCTGTTAAGTTTGCAGGCCGAATTTCCTGCTAATACAAATATTATGTACGTTGATTTACCATCTGCTGAGATTGTTGGATCATGTAAAGATGAGAAATGTTTGCCAGGGATGGTTCTCAATGTGAAGAAACCAGTAACTTACAAGGATCAGTTTGGAATTAGTCACAGGTACTTATTCTGATTTTCATAGTTCTTTTGACATCAGTTTGTTTGGATAAATTCGTCACTGTAGTTTTATGCACAGAACTTATTAGTTTACAATTAAATATTCACATCACAATAATTTTCTTTGTGCTTTGAAAGTATATATCACTCCATTATCTTTATTGAGCCATGTTCTCCAGGACTTAATTCTTCTAGCAGACCTAAGCCTCCAAAGTCCAAACTCTGGAAAAATTAAGTCTCTAAGAACGAGTCCTTTGTCATTAGATATTTAGATTACCTGCAATAGTAATTTAGCTTCTCATTGGACTGTTCCATTGCTATTTTATATTCATGCTTTTGTCGTCCAAGTTGTTACTATAAAAGTATGAAGTCATAATGATACTTTTCTTTGACATTAAATTGCTCTAGTGTCCCTGGCGGTCGCCTTGAGCACACAATGCAAAACATTGCTGATAATTTCACCACTGTATGTCCATCACGATGTTATGAAAGTGTAGAAGGTAAGAATAGTGAAAATTCTGATAGAATGTTATTCAATGTTTGGATGTAAAATTGACGCATAGTACTTTGTCCACTTAGCAGATAGACTAGATACTTTTATGGTATACAATGAAAGAAAGAAGGTTACATCATCCGCTAAGAAGAAAAGGACACATGCTGCCAAGTCTCTACGCCAGGTTTGTTTTTAATAATTTAAACATAGCTGTCTCTCTATATCTTGATACACGTGCTTCTGCCAGACATTGATATTATCACGGACCTTGGAAATGGTTCTCCACTACTAGATTACACCTTCCAAACTTAAGATTCCAATCTCTACATTAAAAAAATATCGATGTATCCCACCTCTTTTTATTGTGATATGCATCCATTAAGATGTGCATATTCTTGTTTTTCAGGCTTAAGACTCCAAACTCCACACTATATACTTAAGACTCGAGATGCAAGATTATAGTAGAGAGTAGAAAGCAAGTCTTGCAGATTAAGTCCAGAAGTTGTATGATGAATTAAGAAATAGTCATACTTAAAACTAATAAGGTTAATTTTTAAAAAATTCAACAAAAAAACTGAAAACCACTTGAGTTTATGTTTTAAGGGTCGTGTTTTTATTTAGCTTTCATATCGAGACCTTAGTTTGGAACTTGTCTTCCTTTGAAGCTCCACATGCCTCTTTTCTTGATTAACCTTTGAAGTGGATAATCTTTATCTTTGGCTGATGATTGCCAATTATTCTCTCCGTCCCCATTTAATTTCCCACTTGTTTTCTACACAAAATTTAAGAGGTGAAATTATCAGGTTGAAATTTGTGAAGAGGAGAGAGAACCAAACAATTCTTTCTCTATAGGGGAGTGAGAAGATTAATTAGGGACATACAAAAATGGAAAGTATGAAGATAAAAAGGAATAAAAGGTGTATTTAACAATATTTGGAGCTAGATCAATTTCTTCCTTTATGCTCAATCCATTAGCTTTGATGTTGTAATTATACCTTGGTGATGAAACTCTTTTTGTAGTACTCCCTCCATCCCATAAAATTAATTTTTTAACAGTTGATTTTTCAGAATTTAAGAAGTGTTGAAAAGTAAAAAGTATATGGGTAGAATTTGTTCAGATGAGATAGAAGTAATGCGAGTCACATATTCATTACTCAGTAGTCAGTACTAAAAGAGGAATTAAAGTGCAATGTTTTATTTGGAACATATGGAATAGAAAAGTGTAAAGAATTTTATGGGATGGAGGGTGTTTTATTTATTATTTGTGGTCACTTTTTGATTCTCGCATCCTGATAACTCAATTCTTCCAATAGACGCTTAACAGGAAAAGTGTTTACTGCAGACTCCAGATGGTGCACTTCTGGATATGATGCGCAATGCCTATGATATTCTCTCCCATTGTGGGATAAGCATTCCACAGGTATATCTAGAATTTCAGTGCCGAATGTATTCAAATTGTATTTGCTTCAGTTCTGCATAACTCATTTGTTATATTGCAGTATGTCCCTTTCATTTTATGGTTTTTTCTTGGAACACGAGTTTATTATCTTGTGTTGCTGTGTATAGATTGAAGGTGATGATAAGTACGTGGATTCTGGACCACCATTTCTTATCCTTCTTCATCCTGCTTTGGGGCCTCTTTGGGAAGTTATTAGACAAAAAGTAAGTCACAATACTATGTATGAGTCTATGACCTCTACTAAATTTGGCCAACTCTTGACGTTTTTTTCTTGTGCTTTCATTATTACAACAACAACAACAACCCAGTTGGATCTCACAAGAGTAGGGTGTGGGGAGGGTGTGTGTATGTAGACCTTGTCCCTACTCGAAAGTAGGGAGACTATTTCCAAGAGACCCCCGGCTCACGCAACAAAAATAATAGAAGATAATAATAGTCATAGAAGATCTCATAAGTTGCATAAAAAGCAGAGAAAGCATAGATAAAAGCCAAAGCACACCAAGGCAAAGGAAAAACTATGTTAACAAAAAGTACTCCAAACATAGAGCACCAAGCATATAAGGCATACAAAGCACACAACAAGTCCATAAAACTACCACCTAACCCAATGTGCCTACCCAAGTGCCCAACTACTCTAATCCTAGCTCTCCAAATGCTCTTATCTAAGGTCATATCCTCAGTAAGGACAAGAAGTACCAAGTCTTGTCTAATAACCTCCTTCCATTATTCAATTTATTTTTTTGTTTCTATATTTTCAAAAAAATATCCCACTACTTTGAGTCTATTATCTCTACTAAAAGCTTCACACTAAAGAAATTGTGAATCATGGGCAAACTTTAATTGCATTTTCTCTTTATTTATCAGTTTCACGGGGGTTCCATTTCCGAAGGTTCAGAGTTACAGATAGAGGTTTCTGAGTTTTATTGGAGAGATGTCCAGGTCAGAAACACGTTCAGTGACTCTGCATGCTTGTGAATGTCCCGTGGCTAATCTCTTTCACTTTTCAGCTCAATGGAAGTTTGATTATTTTGGCCGAGAATGTTATGGGTTCAACTACGATAGATGCAAATGGTGAAGCTTTACTACAGTATGGAAGGAGGTATCCTACAACCCATAAACATGGTAGTTGTGAATTGTGATTTTAAGGGCCCATGGAGACAGGGATATGGAGATTTTAGTCCATATCATGATAAATGAAATGTGTTTAAAGACCGTATATAAGGCCATTGAAGTGTTGCAAGATTACAGATTAAGTTTTTTTTTGGGCGGGCAGATTAAGTTAATCTTTCATACTTAAAAAATTAAAATATATAATCCCTCTGTCATGCAATTAAGTTCCTAGTTTGAATACCACACATATTTAGGCTACACTTTTTGCCATTGACTTTCCAACTTTGCTGATACCTTATTGTCTATGCTCATAAAATAGGGGTATTGATGACTATTTTATTCTTAAAAACTGTCTTTTGTAGAAATAAGAACTTAGGGGCTGTTTGTTTCAGCCTCTTAATGATTCAGATGTCTGAATGGTACAGCACTTAATGATTCAAACTGTTTGTTTCAGCCTCTTAATGGTTCAGATGTCTGAATGGTTAAGAGATTTGCCTCTGAATGGTTAAGTATTATACAGAGTCTGAATGGTTAAGACCTCTTATCTGAATTGATCAGACATTTGCCTCTGAATAGTTAAGCAATATACTAGCTCTTAATGGTTCAGACCTCTTACTGGTTCAACACTTAATGGTTCAGACCTCTTACTGGTTCAGCACTTACCTATTCAGAAGTTGCCAAACAGCCCCTTAATTTTTGTACACCTGTAAAAAGAAAGTGAGAATTATGAGGACGGAGTATCAAAATATAGACTAACCCATCCACATGTCTCCATTCAAAAACACTCAAAACATAATTTTTTGGCAGGTGTAGCAGATGCAAACTCAAGAATGTCAAGGTTCTTAATGATGGCATTGATTGGAATTCAAGAGACAACTTGTACTGGAAGCACGATGTGCAACGATTTGAGGCTGTGAAGATCATACTGCATGGAAATGCAGAGTTTGAAGCAGTGGATGTTATTCTACAGGTGAAATTGACTTGAAATAGAGGGAAGGTTATTATGGGTATTATGGATGTTCTTTTTTCCTAATTTAATTTGATGGCGTCAAGTCCGTCAACTTCCCTTTAAAGCTCAAGCTTATGGGAATCAGAAAAGGATGCATACTCTAACATGTCTCCTCATGTGCATGTAAGATTTGTTTTTGCTCGAACCTTAAACGTCAACATTAATTGTTTGAAAACTACAAAATTGGGTGGTGATGAGGTTCGAACTTGTGACTTTTAGGTCAACATGTCTTTGATGCCATGTAAAAGAACCAACTCAATCAAAAGCTCAATATTGTGGTTTAAGGCTCGGGAAAGGATTTATACGCTAACACTTAAACTTTCAACTTAGCTCTCGTTTGGGAGAGTCAAAATCTGATGTCTTATGTTGTGCTTTGGTATGCAGGGCAACCATGTATTTGATGTCCCAGATGGCTACAAAATGAAGATCGCATCTGGAAATTCAGGTATAAACACAAGATTCACATATATTGTGAGAGAAAGTTCTATTTTTGACATCCTTTTTAGGAAAATACTACGTAAAAATAAAAATATGGTTCATCACTAGTAAATGGCGTGGCTGAAACTATATAATTTGGTAATCATAAAAAAATTGCTTCAGGTTTAGAAGTTAAACTTAATGCCATTGCAAAGACATCAATGGATTGTGGAACCTGGTTTTGGAGTTATAAGAGAATGGGCGCACACATTCAATTGGAACTAGTGGAGTTGTAGGGCGCATATAACCAACCGGCTACGTACATTCGTGAATCGTGGTTCATGAATGGGACCGGACGACTTGCTGGATGATTGTATGGTTGAACTCAAGTTCAACCTTCCCAACCATCTCAACATTCTGTAATAATTATAATAATTATAATAATTATAATAATAATAATAATAATACAATAAACGAAGTGTGTGCTAAGTTAATATTATTAGTGTTAAGTTAATATTATTAGTGTTTAATTTCTTAAAAATTGTGTGTGTGTGTGTGTGTAAAGTGGAAGCAGAACCAGATCAGTGAGATTTGAGCAGAACAAGGGCAAAGCTGTAATTATACCAGCCAAAATGTCATCATACTGTTTTGAATGGATTGTCTGGGGATTTCAATGGCAATTAGTTAAGAAGTCATCCTAGTGTTTATTATTTTTCCTTTTCTTAATTAATTAACACTATGTTTGGTTCAAGAATTTTGGAAGGAAAATAAAAAATAATAATTTTCTCTCATTTTTCTCACCAAAATGGGAAGAATTTGGTTTCCCTCCACTTAGTACATTTGTCTTCTTATTTTCTTTTCTTTCCACTTTTCCTCTCCAACCAAACATGAAAGATTGTTTTCCACTTCATTTTTTTCCTTTTCCCTTTCAAATTCCTTGAACCAAACATGGTGTAAATGTTACCTCCTCTTGTACTCTTATTTAAGAAGATATTTTAGCATTTCTTAAAGTGGAGTCTTTTTTTATGCCATTAATTCCATTATAATGTAGTTCTATTAATACATACTTCCTTCATAGAGTTAAATTTTATTCATTTTTTTTCTATTTACGTTAGTCATTTGATAAAATAATATAGTGATGTCACTACTAGTTTTATAGATTTTTTAATGTAATTTTTAATTATGTAATTAAATTCTATATCGTTTTCATATACAATGATTTGAAAATAACTTCAGTCAAACATTGTAACTCGAAAGAGTCAATTTAAATAGGGATAGAGGGAGTTATTTTTAAGTTACTGAAAGAGTTAGCATATATTTTCGGTGTAATATGATCTTGGATAGGTTTCCGGTTTCCCATACTCAATTCTTGGTATTGATCTTTCTGCCATTCAAGCTAAGATAGAAACTCATTAAATTGGAGTCTTATTTTGCCAACCTTTTGGGTTTCATTTTTGTAGTTACTTTTCTAAATAACTTAAAGTATTATCGTTTTAGTTTTCTAATTAGCGCGTGAACAACAAACACGAAGAAAATACTGAGATTTCATCCAGGTCAGTACAATTTGCTGGTTGGCTTTTGGTTTTTAGTTCATTATAGGTTAGTTTTGTGATCAATGTGATCGTGGAATGATGTTTGTTGATGACCATTGATGAAATCTTGGCTTTTCATTTGTGCTTTTTTGCTTATAACTCCTACCAATATGATTTTCTCACAAATTTGTCTATGCAATGTCTGCATTGAAACCCAATTCACTTAGATCTAAATTATTAAGTGGGTTATTCATGGACATGATTATAGATATTTGACAGAAAAAAATGATTTGAAGAGAGTTTATATTATATTATATTCAAGAGAGTTAATTGTCCGGCCTGTACTGAGGAGTCCTTGCACATGGGAGTTCATCCTTTTTTCTCCCCTCGTTTAAGTCTATTTGTCATATTTGATTTTCTTCAAGTCAAATAGGATAAATTTTGGGTTTCATTTAAACGAAAACTATAATGTATATTGGTATGATTACGAGTTATTAGATTTATCTCTATGAAAATTTATAAATTTTGATGCATTATGTTACCCCGAGTACGAAATAATATGCAATAGAAATTTAGAGTGATTGAAGCTCAAAATTTATTTATTTTTTAATTTAAAAAAATCAAACTGCACAAATATCATAGGGGAGATGTAATTAATAATGCTCATGAGACCCTAATGAATGTTAATGTCTCCCACCTAATATTGATTTTATTAATATTTGTGGGACCTGAAAATATATTTTGGTCCCCATTCAATTATTATTCATCCCATAAAATGCAAAGTGTGAAAGAGAGGGGAGTCCATTTTGTACATTCTCCCCGAAAAAAAAAAGTTTCTCCACATATTTATTTACTAAACATTTACGTGCATGATTTATTTATTGATTTTCATTACTAGTGCAGTGACAATGATATTGAGTTTATCAAGTCAATGTTTCTAAGTAATACCCTCTCTGTCCCTGAATATTTTTCTTATTTTGACATTTTTTTCACACAATGATACTCTTGTACTGCAAACTGCGAGAAAAGTATATTGAATTACTCCGTATAATATAAATTTAATATAATTATATTCATCTTAAGATAAAACTTTGATATATGAAACTTTTATAACATTTATTAATTTAAATTATACTTAATTTATGATCAAATTAAAGAATATTGCTCTTTAATTAAAAAAGGGCAAAATAGTGAGAGTTTTAAGAATGGAGGAGTATAATCTATCAACTTCGAATAAGACAATTTTGTTTGGTACATGAACTATTACAATTGAATAAGAAACAAAAAAAAGAAAAAAATCAACAATTTAAAATGACAACTCTGCCACTTGCGAGTTCTTGTAAAACGGATTATGAGTAATTTATCTAAATAGGACTAAAACATAATGACTTTCCCAATATAGGACCATATGTTTTTATTTTCCAATGTAGGACCTTTGGTCATTATTTATTAGTCATTATTCAAGTAAATGTCCATTATTACTGGGCATTATTCCTCCATTAAGACATTATTAAGTCCTATTTAGGGAATAAAAAAGTTTAAATCCTAGATTAGGAAAGTCATTATGTTTTAGTTCTATTTAGTGCAAATTTCACACGGATTATTAGTGGATCGACCAATTGTTTGAAACTCGAATCTTTTTTGTTTATTAATAGTGTAGTAGAGCTGTTAACCCCTTTCCCAAAACAAGTGATTGGTTGGCCTCAATTATTATTATTAATATTATTATTATTAATATTATTAGTAATATTATTATTATTAATATTATTAGTATTATTATTATTATTATTATTATTATTATTATTACTACTACTACTACATACTCCCCCGTCCCAAAAAGTCTTTCCTGTTTCATTTTTTGCGCATCCCATATAACATTTATATCCCGCCTTGAATGCCAAAAAAACTTTTAAAATAACTTCTACCCACAATAAACAAGAAATGTTGTAAATTTTGGGCATTTTAAATGTCGGTAGAAGTGTTTTATGGGATGCGCAAAAAATGAAACAGGAAAGACTTTTTGGGACGGAGGGAGTAATATTTTAAATTATTATATTCGATCTACCAGATCTTTATTACGCATATGTATCCAAATATATCCAATCAATATTTGATTCTTTCAATAAACATATCAATCTCTTTAATTAATATTTTTATGCATCATTTCATATTTTTTCAAAAAAAGATAATCTTTAAGAATAGTATAGTTTGAAAGCAAACTCTTTTGTAGTATCACGAACATGCATGTTCATTTTATACGTAGTAGTATTTATTTATTTATTTAAAATTTTGTTTAATTTATAGTTAAAAGTTACATAAGTCAAATTAGAACGATAATTTTAAGATGAAAGGAGTAGTATATTTGAAGTGGATGATATATATGTGAAGAGGAATTTACCTAAATAGCACTAAAACATAATGACTTTCCCTAAATAGCACTACATATGTTTTTCTTCCCAATGTAGCACTTTTAGTCATTATGCATTAGTCATTATTCAAGCAAAATTTCGCCATCACTGGACATTATGGACATTATAAGTGCTATTTAGAGAATAAAACAGTTTAAGTGCTATTTAGGGAAATGATTTAAGTTTTAGTGCTATTTAGTGCAAATATTTCTATATGTGAATCTTAAGTGTGTCTAATCAAGAGATTTTGCATAATGCCAAGTTGATGTCATTGTAATTTTGATGCCATTAGCACAATCTTTATTGACACCATCATATACTCCGTGTCAGTTTCTTCGTTCCAAAATAAATTGTACTCTTTAAATTACATACAAAATTTTGTAATTTTTAAAATAATTTTATCTACCAATTGGGACAAAAATAAAGAATAAAATTTACATATTTAAAAACTACGTAAATTATTCCATAAAATAAAATGTAACAAGAATATTTTATTTTATCAAACAGTTAATGTAAACATCTAAGCAAACATAATTTATCAAGAGATCTGACCATAACAGTAAAAAATATGGAGTAAGTTATTTTAGGATGAAGAGAATATAAATCTTTTTAGCATGTTATTTTCGTCAGATGTGATTAGCCTTGTTCTGAATTTATTAATATTTGATCGGATTATTTTTAGTTTAATTTGATTTTTTGGGTTAAAAACTAAATAGAGAAATCAAAAGTCTAATTGTTGTTTTAATTAGTTACGGACCATAATGGGATTTTGTAATCGATCAATTTCACCAAAAGTTCAATTTAAACAATTGGTTGAAGGTTTAGAAATAGTTTTATACTCTGACAAAGAAAATAAAATAAAATTACATCGCTCAAATTTGTTTATATATATGATATGATAAAAATAATACTTAATCCTTCCATAGATGGAGCCCGAAAATATTTGTCAACATATTTAATTTTATGTTTTCGTGATACAGAGTCAAAATTGAACAAAAAATGTTAATTTTATTAGGCCCATAGCCCAGTGATTTTGATGAATAACACGGAGTTTTCGTCAAACATCCGTAAGTTAATAATTAGCATGAGAGGGGTTTGGACGTTCCGTTGACACTTGTCAACGGCGACATTAGCCGTGTCGTTGCGTTTTTAGAACACTTCCGGTCCTCTAATCGGAAAATTGATGAGTGTCAACGGAACGTCCGAACCTGCCCTAATCCTATCCTAAGCTCCTTCCAAATGTGTGACTTTTATGCAACTCCCTGCTCTTTTGAAAATATTTTATTTACAAATTGGTATATCAATGAAAAATAAAAATTACATATTAAAAAACTTCGTCGAAAGTTCTACAAAATGAGATATGACAAGAATATTTTATTTTATCAAATATTCAATGAAAGCACACAAATAAACAAAAGCTATCGAAAAGAAAGAGAAAAAAAGATCGTAATTTATCCTGGGAGGGAAAAGTAAAATATACTCTCTCCTTCCAAAACTAATTCTCCTTATTTTCTTTTTGAGTGTCCCAAATTAACTTCAAGTTTCTTATTTTGAAAAGCTTTTTGTGACTCATTTTTTCCTTTCTTCTAAATTAATTTCAACTACATAATTCTATTTTTTAAAGTAAAGTCAAATCAGGAGAATTAATTTAGGAGGAAGAGTGTATTCCTAGTCATCATCAAGTAATTAGACATTCCAAACGTTATTGATCGATCCTATATACGGCGCACACGTACACCTAAGTGACCTAACAATATATTCCTTCGAAAAGAAAGAGATTTTTTTTTTTACCATGATGGATCCATACATAATTTTGAATATGATATATAGATTTGTTTTCGATTCCCTTAGTCTTGTGCTCCTTTAATTTATTATTTGTTCCACAATTCCTTTACTGACTTAGATTCATTGTTAACAATGTAAATATTGTGTTTCAAATTTACATGTTAGAGGAAATAATTTAAACTAACAAATTTTTTTAAATCATGCATATAAGGAAACTCGAAGAAATCTCGATGCATCCGTAATTCCTAAAGCATAACAAGAATGAAATAGAGAAAAAGACTAAAGTAAAAATAAAACAATGAAAATAAATCAAAATATGAATTATATGTATTTCTGAAATACGAAGTAGGAGCTAATAAAATGCATATAGAGTACTAATCATGGTCATATATATACATTACCAAAAAGTATTGTAAAATATTTATATACAGTGTCACATTATCACAATACAAACTCTTATTTTGGAGATTAAAATATCGAACTCCTATTTTGATATTTTTCTTTATATTTTACTCCTATTTAGAGATTTTTTTAGAAAGCAACATCAACAAGCTTTTTATAAGAAGCAGAACTTATTTACCTATGCTGTTCAAAATTTTAAATGTAGTGTAAATTTGGTATATATGAATATAATGGGTTCCTAATTATGTGACATTCTCCTTTTCAAATTTATGCATGTTCTCTAAATTCTAGCTGGAACATGAAATCTGGATGGGCATTAGAAATTAAATGATGAAAATTAGGATCTTTAAAGTTTAAACAAGAGTTTGAGCTGAGTATGGTAATACTTTAATTTTAACTAAAATTTAAAATTTTGAATCTAATCGGAATTTTTGAACCCGAATTCAAACCATACGTTTTAAATTTTGACACTGGAACTAAATATTTCAAAAAACGAAAATATTTCCGTCTCAAAATTAATTTTTTATTCTGTTTTCTGATGTCCATAACAAAGTTTAATTTCCGTTTTTCAAAAAAATAAATTATGTAAATTGTGTCACGAATAACAGTAATTTCTAGTTTTCTTGTGATTTTAATCACGGACTTCATTTCAAATGGATTATACTAGGACGGCTAGGTATATTCGTGAACTAGATTTTGTTTATATATAAACAATATTTTATATAGAAATATATATGGAGTACTCTATAGATTATATGTGGAATAATATTTTGGTGTGACTGCATATAGAATAAATATATGCTCCAATATACGGAGTATTTATTTTGTCTACCAAAGATCTTTTCGTTACGCGTTTTAAAAAAAATAAAGAAAGATGAATCTTGATTTTCTAGAGTCTTCTAAATCAAGGCCGATCAATTCTTCGAGAGGAGATGATTACTCTAAAGTCTTTCCAATCGGTAACTTATGAATGTATACATTTTTGGTCATTTGGTAAAATAAATATTTTTGTCACCTCTTGTATTAGACAACGTAACTTTTGATGTGATTTTGAATGACGTAATTTATATTTTTATTTTTATACTAATTTATAAATAATATCATTGAATAAAAGATGAGTCTCATTTCTTGAGGACCCTTCAAATCCGGTCAGACGATCACGGAGAGATAATAAACTGAATTTTAATTGCAGATTGGTACGGAGTGGATCCTATATCAGTTACTTGCATAGACCTTATGCAGTAATGCTTAGCTTAGTTATCTTTCAACAAAATTGTCAGAGATGAAACTCAAGTGCCTCTTTGGCATAATATCGTTTTATAAGAAATGAAATTTTAATTTATATGCTGCCCGGTTTTTTTTAAAATTTTTAAACCAATAAACTTGGGGATTTGCTAGAGAATAATTTCAGTGATGGCAGACGTGGGGTAACCTTCAACTCGTCTACTCCACTTTACTTGTCTTTTTCAATATTGATCCTCCCCTGATCTTCTTTCTTTATCTTTCTATCTAACACACACACACATATATATAAATCAAGCAATGCAAATTAAATGTGCAATTCATTTCAACAAGATTAACAATTCACATTTCTTTCTTTCATTTATTTATTTATTTATTAAACTCGTTGCATATATATATATACACACATAAGTGTAAGATTACCTGCAGGCCATTACATTGTTATATTCAGCATTAAAGAAAATGGCGATTTCTGTGCATATAAAAGAAGCTGTTTTGGTGAGCCCATCAGAGTCAACTCCGGTTCATGTTCTTCCCCTTTCCACTTTGGACTCTCAGCCTTTTCTTCGCTTCACCATTGAGTATCTCCTGGTGTACAAACCCACCAACGCTTTCTTGGACCGGCCCGCCACCGCCGCTCGCCTCAAGGATGCCCTGGCCCGGGCCCTGGTCCCTTACTACCCGCTCGCCGGAAGAGTCGTGCTTCGGCCAGACTCTTCCGGCCTCGAGGTGGCGTGTCGGAACCAGGGTGCGGTTTTCGTGGAAGCGGTCTCCGATGCTTCCTCGGCGGAGTTCGAAGGCGCGCCGAGGAGCGGCGCGCGGTGGCGGAAGCTCTTGTCGTTGGCGGTTTCCGACGTGCTTAAGGGGGCGCCGGCGTTGGTCCTCCAGCTGACGTGGCTGTCGGACAATGCCGCCGCCCTCGGCGTCGGCTTCAACCATTGCTTGATTGACGGGGTCGGGAGCGGCGAGTTCCTCAACTTCCTCGCCGACTTGGCCGCCGGGAAGCAAGGACCAGGGGCGGAGCTCAAGCGGAAACACGTCTGGGAGCGGCATGTTTTCGACCCGGTCCCGACTCGGCTCCGTGACCCGGCGAGTCACCCCGAGTTCGACCGGGTCCCCGACGTCGGAAACTTCGTCCGCCGCTTTTCCCGAGAGCGGCTCGCGCCGACGTCAGTCATATTCGACGGGAAAAGACTGCACGAGTTGAAGGCGAGACTCGGCGAGTTGGCCCACACGTCGTTTGAAGCTCTCTCGGCCCACGTCTGGAGGAGCTGGGCCCGGTCGCTGAATCTTCCGCCGACTCAAGTGCTCAAGCTACTCTTCAGCGTCAATGTGCGAGACCGAGTCGACCCGAGTCTCCCGGATGGTTACTACGGGAACGGGTTCGTCCTCGGCTGCGCGCGGGCCACTGCGGCGGAGCTGGAGGACGAGGGGTTGGGGCACGCGGCGGCGCTGATAAAGAATGCGAAGGACAGAGTGAACGACGAGTACGTGAAGGAGGTGGTGGAATCGGTGAGTTCTACTCGGGCGTGTCCGGACTCGGTCGGGGTGTTGATACTGTCGCAATGGTCAAGGCTTGGACTGGAGAGGGTTGACTTCGGGATGGGGAAGCCGGTGGAGGTGGGGCCCGTCGTCTGCGACCGTTACTGCATATTGCTGCCGGCGAGAGGTTCGGCGGACGCCGTTAAAGTCAACGTTGCAGTGCCAGCGAGCGCCGTTGACAAATACTTGTACCTTCTGAGGAACACCTGAGTAGCATTATGTAACCTTTGACCCGATTGTCCGTTGCAGAGGATTAAATGTTTCATATACTCCGTATTTATTTCAAAAAAGAAAAGGGTTTCATGTTTATATACTCCGTAATTAGATATGGAATGATAATTAAGCTATATGATACGGAGTGCATTGGGATGTTAATAAATACTCCCTCTGTTTCAAATTATTTGTCACATTTCTATTACCGAGGCAAAATATCAAATTTTTTCAATTCATTTTAATTATATATTGGTAAAGAAATAAAAAATAAAAATTACATATCAAAAAACTACATGAAAAGTTCTTCGAAATAAGAGGTGTCAAGAATATTTTATTTTATCAAATAACTAATGAAAATGTAGAAATAAACAAAAGTTCCCGCGACTTTTGAAAAAGCAAATGTGACAAATAATTTGGGACGGAGGCAGTATTACTTTCCCTCCAACAATTTTACTTCTTGTTTAGACTTTACATTTATATTTAGGAAAAATGATTTTATTTTTGCTTTCGTTTTTCGCCTTTATATTAATAGTAAAGATGAGATAGATACTCACTCCGTCCCTAAACATTTGCCACATTTGTAAGTTTTTTCAATTCATTTTATTTACATATTGGTATAGAAAAAAAATAAAATTTACATATCAAAAAAGCTACATGAAAAGTTCTTCGAAATAAGAGCTGTCAAGAATATTTTATTTTATCAAATAACCAATGAAAACGTAGAAATAAACGAAAGTTCCCGCGACTGCTGAAAAAGCTAATGTTGCAAATATTTTGGGACGGAGGGAGTAAAGAATGTTGAAACACGGGTTTATCGTGTTTTCGTACTAAAGCCGTGTTCGTTTTTATGACAAGTTTTGATAATGCCAAACCGCCGTGAACGAGACAAGTTGTTGAATAGACAAGGCGGGAAATAAATATAAGAAGAAAGCAAGATAACAAGACCCAAAAGAAGACCAAGAACGAAGACCGTAGTCTTAGTGTTGTTGAGTCGGTCATAATTGTGATCAAGACCGACCCAACCTTTACACCTTGGCTCTTTAGGCTAAAATTCTTTTCATTGCATTTCACACATCATAAAAATGTTTTTCAAACATGTTTAAAACATTAAAAACACTTGGTGTTCGCCCAAACCAAAAATCAAGCCATCCGGTGTTCGGGTTTCAGAAACTGGCGTTCGGCATTCGGTTTTCGTCGTTGGTTCTTGGCGTCCGAACTAACCAAGTGGTTTTCAACTTTTTATGATTGGTTTTTACTTCTGGGCACATTTAAATAGTTTTCCATCAAAAACACTTCAAAAACCACCTTTCGTTTTTTGTCGTTTGATAAAAACCACGCGAAATGGCATAAACTTGGCTAGCCATGGTTTTCACTTAAATGAAGTGGTTTTCGAGTCTTTTTTTGTGGGAATTGTTTTT